TGAGTAGAGAACAAGTAAACCCTATACATGGTAATTCTATATATGGTAATGAGGGGTAGGTGATAACTCTTACAATGCTAACTATACACGTGTGACAACTCATACAATACAGTACAACGTGACAACTCATACAATACTGTGCAACACTCCCCCTTAAGCTAGAGAGTAAATGTCGATAACTCCCAGCTTGCTACACATGGAATCAATAGAGTTCTTGGGAAGCGCCTTAGTGAAGATGTCTACCAGTTGTCTACCAAAAGGAACAAAAGGTGTAACAATCTCCATTCGAGTCAACTTTAGATCGAATGAAATGGCAATCTACTTCAATGTGTTTAGTCCTTTCATGGTAGACTGGATTGCTAGCAATATGAGTTTTCAACCAAGTAAGTTCACAGATAGCATGTGCCATAGCACGATAATCTGCTTCAGCACTAGAACGATCCACAACTGACTATTTCTTACTCCTCCAAGTTTCTAGATTTCATCCTATGAAGGTGCAGTAACCCGTGGTGGACCATCAATCAGAAGCAGAACCGGCCCAATCTGCATATGTGTATCCCTCAATCCGAAGATGTCCAAAAGATCGATTAAGCAGACCATGTCACGGAGCACCCTTGAGATACTTCAAGATGCGTGCAATTGCCTCCATATGAGGTACCCGAGGAGTGGTCATGAACTGGCTCAGAACACTGACTGCTCAGTGCATAGGAGATGTCTAGACGAGTGATTGTGAGGTAAATAAGTTTACGTACAAGTCTCCGATACATCTTTGGATCATCGAGTGGGTCACCATCATCCACCTTAAGTTTTACATTAGTATCCACAAGTGTAGCTATAGATTTCGAACCAAGATATCTAATATCATGTAAGAGATCAAGAGTATACTTCCACTGAGAAAGACTAATGCCTTGCTTCGACCGGTGATAACGATATCATCTACATACACCACAAGAATCACAATACCAAGTTTCGATTTCTTAAAAAAGAGAGAGTGGTCAGCCTGGCTTCTGGTCATACCATGAGCTACCACTGCTTTATTGAACTTATCAAACCATGCACGAGGGGACAATTTGAGGCCATAGATAGATTTCTTAAGATGACACACACACTCCCCCTTATACTCAAACCCAGGTGGTTGAGTCATATAGACTGTCTCAGTAAGGTCACCGTGCAGAAAGGCATTTTTAACATTAAGTTGATGAAGTGGCTAGTCTAGATTAGCTGCAAGAGAGTTTATCACACAAACAGAATTTAGTTTGGCCACAGAAGAGAACGTCTCAGCATAATCAAGGCCATAAGTCTGAGTGTAGCCTTTAGCAACAAGTCAAGCTTTGAGACAGTCAACAGGACCATCAGGCTTCTGTTTAACAGTAAAAACCCTACGACAACCAACAACCTGAGTATCAGCAGGCTTAGGAACAAGGTCCCAAGTATGATTCAATTTTAAAGCATTTATTTCTTCTTCCATAGCTTTCCTCCACCTGGATGAGAAAGTGCCTCCCTGTAGGACTTAGGAAGAGCAATAAAGGATAATAACAAAGAAAAAGCTCGCAAGGAGGAGGACAATTTATTATACGATACAAAATTGGAGATAGGGTGATTAGTACAAGACCGTTTACCTTTTCGAGCAGCAATAGGTTGATCAAGATCAGAGTCCGCATAGATGGAAGAATCTCCAGGCGTTGAAGTGAATGGTGGAAGTGGCAAGGCCGGATTTACTACTTCAATCGTTGGAATATGATTAATTACTCTTTTTCGGCGACGAGCATAGACACAAAGAGCTATTGGGATGTCAGAATAAAAAACTGGAGTTGGAAGAACAGACTCTTGAAGAACAGAGTTCTCCAGACGACTGCGTTCCTGGAAATAATAAGGAACGTCCTCAAAGAAAGTTACATCTGCACACACATTGTTTACAAAGAGTTGGACTGTAACATTTATATCCCTTTTTGAGTGCGAGAATAACCTAAGAAAATACATTTGTGAGCACGAAAATCAAGTTTGTCTCGCCCCGGACTTAGATTATGAACAAAACAGACACACACAAACATCTTGGAGGAATGGAAAAAGGGTTTTTGTCAAAAACATCATTTGGAAGGGTGATTTTCCTTGAAGGACCCTAGAAGGCATGCGGTTTAAAAGATAAGCAGCAACCAGAACTGTATCTGCACAAAAATGTTTTGGAACATACATTTGAATTATTAAGGCACAAGCGATAGCTAGGAGTGGGTCATTCTTCCGTTCAGCAACTTCATTTTGTTGCGGGGTATCAGCACAAGATGTTTGATGGATAATGCCCCTCGACTCAAGAAACTTTTTAAAGACATTAAGTTTATATTCAAGTGCATTGTCAATTCTAAGAACAAGTAATTTTGCATTATACTGATTTTGAATTTCAGCATAAAAGGATTGAAAAACATAGAATACTTGAAATCTATCTTTAAGAATATAAACCCAAGTTAAACGTGAATAATCATCAATAAATGACACAAAATAACGAGCACCAAATAAACCAGTAGTACGAGCCGGTCCCCAAACATCCGAATGTACTAACTCAAAAGGTTTTAAACTTTTATTATCAAAACGAGACTTAAAAGTAGCCCAACGATGTTTACTAAGTTCATAAGTAGTACAATTAAACTTAGAAAAATCAACTAAAGAAGGGACCAAGGCTCGAAGACTATTTGAATAGGGATGTCCAAGGCGGTAATGCCACTGGTAGGCTGAAGAGGAGGTGGAATGTAGAGCTGTCAAAGCAGTAGTTGGCTGGAAGTAGTAAAGACCATCCTTCTCAAACCCCCCACCAATCGTCTTCTTCGTCTTAAGATCCTGAAAGACACAACGGGAAGGAGAAAAAGTAGATGAGCAATTTAAATCTGATATGATTTTGCGAACTGACAATAAATTGAATGAAAATTGAGGGATATATAAACCTAATGAAAAAGTGAGACCCGAAGTGTGGAAGGTACCAATTCCATGAACAGGTGATTTGGCACCATTCGCTATAGTAACAACCGATGGTGAGAAAACATGAGAAATATCATAAAGAAGAGATGGGTTACCTGTCATCGGATGCCCCTGAATCAATAATCCAAGGTGTAGAAGATGAAGCATGGAAACACATATTACCTGAAGTAACAATAGTAGCGGTGGAGGAGGGCTGATTTGCATGCTCACGCTTTACCAGAGAATCATATTAGGAGGACTTGTTCATTCGTAGGAGTGGGAGTAGTCTCCTCCGAAACCGAAGCTTGATTAGACCAAGCTGGCTTGCCATGAAGAGCCCAACAGAAGTCAACAGAGTGATTGTTTCTGCCACAATGAGTACACTTCTTGCTGCCGCGACCCCCTCTGCCGCCACGAGAACCACGGCCTGGGTTGGAAGGACCTCTGCCCCCTCATCCTCCACGGAAAGTATCATGTCGCTCAATAGGAACAACAAGAGCAGAGTGGTTGTCCTTCTCAATCACAGGGCATGAATAGATGCTCTCCGAACTCGAGCAAAAGTCTCACTTGTTGTGGGTATCCTTGCCAGACAAAATCTGCGAACTGATCAGAGCGAGTTCGGGTTTAAGTCCAAATAAAAATTTTACCAGCCGAAACTCCTCCCTGTGTCGTTTTTGTTATTCTATGTCTGTAGTCAATGGTTGGTAGACATTCAATTCTTCCTACATGCCCTTTAGTTCTGAGTAATAATCTTCAACAGAACGATCTCCCTGCTGGAGATTAAAAAGATCTTGATACAACTGATAAATACGAGAAAGAGAAGAATACATGTCTCTGAGATTTTCCCAGATATCTTTAGCAGATTCTAGAAATGACACGTTATTGAAAATCTCAGGCTCCAAGTTGTTCCATAACCAAGTAATAATCTGAGCATCCTCTTTCTCCCAAGCCTCAATAATCTTTTCATCACTGCTGGGTTTGGTTGATTTAAGTTAGTACAGTTTTCCTTGAGCCCGTAAGAACACCTCTAAGGCTCGAGACAATTGAAGGTAGTTCGAGCCTTTCAGTTTGGTGCTGGTGATTGACCCAAGAAGATGGGATTCCTTAGTATCCATCACAAGTGCTGCCGAACAAATAAGATATGGTAGCGAGCGGGAGTCGAGATAAGAGAACCAAGATCTAGCCGAGATGAACCCAAGAGAAATTATCGAGGAGAGAGCCGGAGGGATCCGAGAGAGATTGTTGAGACGAGAATTGAGATCACCGAGAAGAGATTGCTAAGAGAAAGCCGAGATGGAATCAAGATCGGAGAGTCTAAATAAGACTAAAAAAAATTTAAAGAGGGATCGATTTCCGCTCTGATACCATGTTGAAAGAGAGAGAGAGAGAATTTATGAAAACGTATATGTTATTGAATAAATAATACAATGGTGTTTATATAGGAGAAGCTACGGGAGTAGGTGAGTGGAGAACAAGTAAACCCTATACATGGTAATTCTATATATGGTAATGAGGGGTAGGTGACAACTCATACAATACTAACTGTACACGCGTGACAATTCATACAATACTAAATGTACACATGTGACAACTCATACAATACTGTACAACACATATCTTCAAAACAAAATCAATATGACTTTGAAGTATAAGAGCCAATGGTGATCATCTCTCATTTATGTTAAAAATAGAGAGAAACAAAATCAAAAGCAAACACTGAGAGGCAAGTTCATACAATCAAACTCAACAAAATTTTAAAACTAAACAAATAAAGATCTAAGAAGGATAGAAGCAACACAGTAGCCAAAATATAAGAATTTGGGAAATCTAAGAAGTGCCTATGGAAGGCCCATCTTAGAAACCACTCATAAATTTCTGAATGTGTATATATACTATGTATGTGCCTCTCCTGTACAACTTCCAGTATCCAACAGTAGCAAAAAGAATAAATAAATAAAAATTATACATCCTATGTATCAGAGATGCTCAGTATAACTTGGACATTCACTAGTGAAATGTACACCTGTCATCATGCAAGTGAAAGAAAAAAGTACCTGTTCCTCTTCCTTGGACATGTGCTGGCTAATTGATGTTTGAAGGGCCCCCGTACAAGAGGCTAACTCTCTTCTAAAGCTTTCTTCATTTTTCATATTTGAATTCAGCAATTTAAACAACTGATCAAAAAGAAAACTTTCTCCCTCATGCTCAAGAGAGTAAGTACGTGCCACATTCTTCACACGTATATCAAGAGCTGGAAAAATGACCTGCATTTCCAACCAAAGAATACACTGTGACAAGATTCCATATATTGCTTATCATTTATCAACTAGCATTTGGGATAAGATCCATATTTTACTACAGGGTTACCATTTTGGATCCAGTTATTGGAAGCAGGTATGGGCATGTAGAGCAAAACTAAAAACCCAACAAACTGTGATACATGTCTCATGAGAACATCATAGCTACCAAGATAAAGTCAAAAAGTTGATCTTCACACTGCCCGTCTTAGGCCTTATATGAATTACAAAATCCACTGGAATATGCTAGACTCAGTCCATGGTGCTCATACAGGCTACAATTGATGACATTTACACTAAATTATACATTTCCACTTGTGAAAATAGAAGCTCCAAAGTAACCTATCAGGAAAAAAAAAGGTCAGGCAGGGGGTTTACAAAATTAGGAAAGGAGTTCCAAAGGCAACCAACAATCATTCATGTTTAATTTCCAAAAAATAATCATTCATGTTTAAAATAATTCCTCATGTTACCTTCACGGAAAACAAAACAACTGCTTTTCCCAAAAAAGTAAAGCTGACATATTTAGTATATTTAGCTTGAATAATTTAAGAGTGAAAATTTATTATCTAATTTTTTTTTTATTTTTTATAATTAAGCAAATTCATTCAAAAAACATTCAAAAGGGGAACATGTCCCAAAAACAACAAAGGGATCCTATGGTCTCAAAGATGAAATAAAATCAATCATCTCCTCCGGGGAGGAACAAAGCCTACCCGAACCCCAAAAACATAAAGATGTAATAAAAACTGACTTAAGAACAACAATCGAGGATTCCTTTCCTTCAAAGGATCTATTATTCCGCTCCCTCCACAAACACCACCATAAACACAAGGGCGCCATCCTCCAAAACCCACGAGCATGACCTCCCACATAGCACCCTCTCCAAGCCTCTATCAATCCTCTCGTAGATCGAGGCATTACCCACGAAACCCCAAACATTCCTAGCAAAAGACACCAACAGTCCAAAGCCACTAGACAATGCAAAAGAAGATGATCCACTGATTCCCCATTGCACTTACACATACAGCACCAGTTAACCGGGATTTGTCTTTGCCTCCTCAAATTATCAAGCGTCAAGATCTTGCCCCACACCACTATCCAAGTAAAGAATGCCACTTTGAGCGGCACCGTAATGCTTCTTTTCCAACTTATTCATTTGATTTCAAAGATGCTTCTTTTCCAACTTATTCGTTTGACTTCAAAAAGGTCAAACGTCTTCTATTTTAAAGTATGATGTACCCAATTCTTTCTCTACTATACATTCCCTTAAGGTGAGAACCGTGAGATGCATTCATTTAAAAATTTTCCAAAGCTAATTGGTACTGGAAACTTTCAAACGATTTCTAGTTTCCAAATAGGTCAAGATGCATTCACCTAAATTTCTACCAAAAAGTAATTGATACTAAAATTATCAAACTATTTCGGTTTTTTCTTCTTGAGTTATTCAAAATATCCTTACCTTTTTTACATTACAAATGGTAGGACCCTTCTTCGGTGCAATGGTAAAAACTTGTGCCGACAAGCATGAGAACATAGGTTCATAGTCTCACAGACTCACAGTAGCTACTTCACGCAAAACAATACTAAATATTAAGTATGTCTCCAATCCACCCATCCTGGTACATTACACAACATGTAAGATTGTTCACTATATCCCATAGCAAATGGAAAACAATGCAGAACATGGTTAACAGACTCTGGAGTTGCATTGCACATACAGATATTTATGCAGTCTTCAATTCCAAAGATAAGATGCAAAGCCCCCTCCCCTCAGGTCAAATTGTTATCTTGGGTTGCTGATCAGACAGGACATACTTTAGAATAAATAAAGCTTCATTCCACCTTGGATAAAAAATAAAAATAAAAATAAATAAATAAATAAATCTGCCCCCAGCAAAAGGAAGAATTCAGCATAAAAATACTATAATCAACTGAATACCCTATGCAACCCCAGATCGTTCCGAAATTCATAGCAAATCAAAGAATTACTCTGCAAAGTTTCAACTTCCAACCTTCTTTCTAATAGTTGTGCAATGTGGACTAGACCACATTGCTTTCTTCCACTCATATGGAGCCAAATGATCCACCACAACCACAAACTAATCATGCAAGGCCACTGTAAGCATAACGCAGCACACCTAGCTATTCAAAAAGAGTGCGAAGCCTGAAACCCTGCTTGGGCCAGAACACACAACCTATTGGGCTTTAATCCGGCAGAACCTGACTGCAACCAGCTCAGCCACTAAGCTGATGGGCTGGGCCTGGTCATGTGTTTTTGAAGCCCAGCCTGGTTTGACAGTCCTGGCTTTTTGACCTGTAAATGTGTTTTTTGTTGAATTCAGTTAACAAGCTGAGCTGGGTGAGGGTGTGTACCCCCATTAAGACGGGGCTGGGAATTAGGAGGTTGGGTTTGTTCAACAAGGCTTTGTTGGGCAAATGGCTTTGGAAATTTGTGAGGAGAGATCCAGATTGTGGAGGAGAGTCATTGTTAGCCAGACTAGTGAGGGCTTTGGTGGTAGGACCTCTGGGGAGGTAAGGCCTCCTACTGGGATGGGGGTGTGGAAGCATATCCGGAAAGGGGGGATGAGCTTTCCAAGGAGTGGCAGGTGTGTTGGATTTTGGGAAGGATCACGGAGATTCTGTTCTAGCTTGTAGGTGTCCGCGACTTTTCAGGATTCCTACGGACAGACATGCCTTGGTACCGACTGTTTTTTTTTTTTTTTTTTTTTTTTTTGGATGCCTTGATACAGACTGTTATGGTCTTGATAGCGGGAGGATGACCTAGGACATGCAATTTTAGAGTGAGTTTCACGATTGCAAGCTTACGGAGGTAGAAGAGTTCTTAGCTCTTCTATATAGTTAGGAGGTGGAGGGGAAAGAGACGGATGAGATGATATGGAACCACTCTTCGACAGGGGCTTTTGGTGTGCGATCTTGCTATCAGAGTTCCCTTGCTTTTCCGATGCGTTCTTTTTCTTGGAAAGCTATTTGGAGATCAAAAGCCCCCTAAAGGTAGCTTTCTTTTAATGGTTAGCTTCTCTTGGGAGGATTTTGACTCTAGAGTACCTAAGAAGGAGGCAGGTTGTGGTGAATTGGTGCTACATGTGTAAGGAAGCAGTAGAGTCAATGAATCACCTTCCTTTACGCTGTCCAGTGGCAAGAGATGTTTAGGCTATTTTTTTGTGGTTTTTGGCATGTATTGGGCGTCTCCTGGTTCCACATGTCAAGGCTAGGAGAGGATATACAGTGGAGAGCCGAGCCAGAGATGCTTGGAGGCCACTCCCCTTTGGATTTGGTGGGGGTTGTGGCATGAGAGAAACACAAGATCCTTTGATGGAGAGGAGACTCCTATTTGGTCCCTCAAATATAACATCATAAGTTCTTTATCCTTTCAGGTAAATGGACGAAATCATAGCTGGCCCTTGTTGGTTTTTTGTGTTTGTTCTCAGGAGCGCCTTTAATACTTATAAAAAAAAAAATAAGTTAACAAGTTGATCGTGTGGTTAAAAGTCAACTGTCTTCAATGGTATTACTCATTTGAAAAAGAAAAAGATGATATTTTTCACAAAATTGGGCCTAACCCAAGCTTGCTCAGAGCCCAACCAGAAGAACCAGACCTAAAGCCAAACCCAGGCCTTTGAAGATTTCTATTAGCGAGCTTGAATGGTTAAAGCACAATGGGCTTGGAATAGTGCCTCAAATTCTCTAGCCGAACCTGCCTATTTGGGATATTTATGCACACCAAAAATCCAAAGAGTATCTAATTGATTATAATTGATACAAAAGCTCAAAGGATAAGGAAGCCGAAGTGATAAGATAATCTACAATGTAGATAAGGATAACTACGTCACCTCCTACTATCTCTCCTGAATCATAACGGAAAAGGTAACGGAAGGAATTTCAGACTTGAACACAACTACCAAATAATCTCCTATAAAAAGGAGTTTGGTCGATTCAAAAGGTACCAGAGAATTACATACAAAAAGTCTTTCTTTCATATACAAGTGATCAAGTACTAACTTGATCTTCGGAGTGTACCAGGCCGGCACCACGCCAGTGCCTATCTCGATCACTGCTTCTCTTTTTCTTGCAGGAAAGGCGTTCCGGATCGCGACAGAATTATGCATCAACAACAATCCTGAGACTGCATTATGTATATGACAGTATTGATGGCAACTAACAAGCTGTGAATAACCAAAACCTGGAGGCATACTTGGCAGCTATCACCTCCACCTAAGAATTGTTCCATGCTACCATAAATCTCCAGTATGATTATCCAACAAAACTTTGTTAGCGTTTAAAAGCCTCCCCCACCACCTACCAGAAAGATCTCCAGTTACAAGAAGCATGCATTCTTCCAATAATTCCAATGACATTTGAATTCACCATCTCTGCAGAGACTGATCCTTCTCAAATTTGTCCAACCTCTATCACCGAGACAAGAATGGGAAACACAGACCATAGAAGTTCAAGGAATAAATGAGAAAATCTTAGCAATGTAACTCTCCATCATTTGATATCAAGATCCCTTTCCAAAAAATTCACATCTCCTGGAATTGCCCCATCACTACATCCACACCACTACAGAATCATAAGAAGACAATGAAGCAAGGATGATGTAGAACTTCTTTCAGCACCCAATATTGATGGTAGATGTGTTAGGTTCATAGATTTAGGTTGGCAAATTTAGTAGAACAAAACTCATTCAATGTAATCTTTTATTTTATTTTAAGTGAGTGCTGAGTTGTTAGAATTGAGCGTGTAGTTTAAGACAACAATTATACTCCATACAATTCCTCCTTCGAACCACGAAGCTCACACTATATAGCAAATACACTCCATACAGCTCCTCAGTCAAGCCATGAAACTCACTTATCCAGCATAAACAACAAGAAGTCCCAATAAACATGGTAAGATTTCCTTTTTTGTTGGGTGATGGGGAAAAATTGTAATCTATAGAGGAGATTGTTGTAATCTTAGGAACTCTGTCTTTGACTTTTGCCTTTGTGTAACTTTCGGGATGCATTCCCCTTTTGAACGCTTTCTAATACATTTTTACTTGTCAAAAAAAAAAATTTTGATTTCCTTTTTTCAAACTTGCATATTAGCCCTAGGTCTAACATCCTTGTACTAGAGCAACACCTAACTGGGAAAACGAATCATAACTAATATTTTCCTTTCACCCACAAACCATTCTTAGTCTTAGAAATTCCACCACACTTCAACACATTTCCAAAGCTAGATTCTGGCCAAAGAATTTTATGATATACTCCCCACTAAACTAAATGGCGCAAGGTCCCTTATGCCATTACCAACTGCTCTCCTTCAATAAGGGTAAAGAACAACGTATTCGGGATTTAATCGAAAGTCCCACACCCAAAGACAAAAGACACCACTAAGATCACATTGTGCCTAACTGCAAACCACTAATATGATAAGAAAGCCACAGTGATCCATCATGGTCTAGGGCCTTATCCTTGTTTGCAACTCCGATACCTCATCATCTGAGAAGGGCCTTTTTAGCAATATCATCTATTCTATTGCGGGAAAAACAACAAGAAAAAGCAGTAAAGATGCTAATGCATAAAGAGACCACAATTCTGATGAGTAAGGTGAAGAAGAGAGGTTGGTGAGCATGAGGGTATGATAAGGACAATGCTAAAGTAAAGATAGTTGATTTTTTGGACTTTTTGAGAGTTTAGTGCCATATTTGGCCTTGTGTAGCTATTAAGGGATGTGTTCCCCTTTTGAACTCTTCTCAATACAATTTTGCTTATCAAATAAAATAAAATAAAATAATAACAACAACAATGACGAATGACTAATACCTATTTAATGTTATTATTTGAACTATTGATTATTTAGTTAAGCAACATTAATGAGATGAAAAGAAGTGTGGTAGATTTGTTGTTAAGAAGAAAGAATGAGCTACAATTGTAAAACTAAATTAGTAAGCAATAATCAAAGGCGCCTTGTTTCATTTACAACCATATATATATATATATATATATATATATTAAACTGATACTTTTTCAATAATTAAATAAATATAAAATTAAAATATATTGTTGGCTTCTAAAAGTAGAACTCTTTTCGCGTAGAAGAAAGTACAAAAAGAGGAGTTCTCCCTGCTTAGGGCCGGCTACATTTGAACCCTATATCATGAAGTTAAGGTGTCCCCTACACCGTACCTATATCCCTGAAGTGAATTTGTTTTTGTACCAATTTCTCCTGACACATTACTAATTCTCCTGGCGTAGATCTACTGGTTGTTAATAGATCAGTAAGAGTATTGTGTGATAAGAATAGAAAAATAAATGACGCACTTAAAACTTACAAGAAGTACATATTCAATTATATAAAGCAGAGGTTTGAAGGTGAGAGATATCTCACCAAAACACATGCAAAACTAATTTGTGATTAGGCTCTAAGACTATATTTCAAAGCTTTTCAAGTTATTATGGAAATGGAAGGTACTACAAAATACAAACTGTGGCAGAGCTTTAGTAGAATTATGGACCATGTATGAAGGAAATTCGAGGTAAAGAATAGTTGGAGGTCCTATGAAACCATATATCGCGGGCACAATGTATCAAGGATACAAATTATTATGGTCCTAACTAGGCATACGTTAAGAGAATAATGTACCGATCCAACAATGCAACTCAAGAGAACTTTGTCCCAAATACTTGAGGCCATTCTGCACAATCTGAAGGCCTTATTTCGTTTGTAAACACAAGCTACCATAAGGTCATTTTTATTTTCCACCTAAGATCATACTACAAAAGCATACTCTTCTTTGTAAGTATATTAACATGGTACAAGATGCACAACCCATGTACATTCAACCTATCAAAAAAGTAAACAAGAAATTTTCAAATCACCTCTACAACTTCAATTTTCAACAGAGTATATGAAATTAATAGAACGAAATTAATTATCATCTTATTCAATTTGTGAACTTACCTCCTCAAAAGTGCACCTATCCCTTCTTTCCAAATACACCTAGCTACCAAATGATGCAAGAATCAAAGACCCAAAGCACACCAAAATGTGAAAATTGCACACATAAAAAGTCTCGCGCCACAACATATTGAATCATTAGATTGTCCACATACTCAAATACTCTACACATGCAGCAGCAGTTCATAATCAAATTTTTTTCCAATCCCCCAAGATATCAATGGTTAACATTACCTCCAAGGTTAAATTCCAAAGAGAGACAGGGGGAGAGAGAGAGACCTTTAAAGGCCGGTTCAAATACATTCTCAACAGATTTACAAACCTCAAACTGCGAAGCACCTTACAAAGAATTTCAGTGCCAAATTTTCAACTTCAATCCACCTTCAAACATAAACCATACTCCCTATACCTGAGACAGATGCAATGTCTATATCAAACTCAGAAAAAGTATTTGGTAACTATGTTTCCCAATCTTGGGCTGTGCTAGTAAACCTGGGATACCTCACTACTCCCCCCTCTTACATTACTTGAGATCTGTAGCTACTTTTCTTTTAGAAGCTGTACTAAATAATCTGGAAACTTTTCTCCAAGAAGGATATCCATACATCAATCGTCATGCCAAAATCTCACTCTCTAATATCCACCACCAAAAAGGTCGACATATTTGGAGCTCTACAGGTAATGCAAGTTTGAAAACAAATAATACCAGATTCCACGTGGTGATTTGAAACTGACCAAGCCATAGGCAACTTCAAGGCATGGTATTTACAGCACAAGAGAACTGAACAATCACCGGCATTTCAGTCAAAGCATTTTTCCGAAAATAAAATTAATAATTACAACAATATATATATATATATATATATACATGCATATGTGTAAGGAGAAGACTGACAAAAGTACCGACAGGAGATGACATACAGGGCATAAAAATTATTTGAATTGGTTAAATGAATATACTTAAACAAAAATTGAGAAATGAGAATTCAGTCTAGTAGAATAAATGGCGCAAATAATACAATTTCAACAGCATAATTACTAAAACTATCTATATGAGTCGAAAACAAATTCTAGTGACTTCGAATTATCCTCGGCATTGCAATGGTGCTTCGAATTTGAAACACAAAAGAAAACAATTTAAATATCTTTAAATTAGTCAGATGATTTAATACAACCCGCCAACCATTCAATTTCAACAGTCCAAGAGAGTGATTTTATAATTAAGCATCAGTTTTTAGGGATTTCATTCTTTTCATTTCCAAATCGATTGTTGTACACACCTCGTCCTCGGCATTGCAGTGGTGCTTGTAGATGGATCGAAGGAAGTGATAGCGCTCCAACAAGGGCTTGATGTCACTGTGCTGATTGGTGGCGAAGGCCATGGCGGCTCGGTGGAGGTGATCCAGCTCGGTACGTATGGCTTTGTGGAAGAACAAGAAGATGAGAATCGGAGATTTTAGAGTTTCGTGGCTCGTGCTAGGCTTGTTGGAGGTTCCTGATGGATCGAGCTGGTTCACAGGCCCTGCCATTATCGCTAAGCCTCCGTCTCTGTGTTGAATCCCCGTCAATGGCGTCGCCATTTATATGGAATGCCAAAAACAAGATCAGATTGGGTGATTTCAGATTCAGATTTCACAAACCCAAGATGTTCCCAAATTCGTCAGATTTGATATTTCTCTCTCTAGGAATAGGTAACTCTCTCAGACTCTCACTCTTCAAAGATAACGGACATAGCAAAAGCAACTTTCTCTCTCTCTCTCCCCCATTTGTTTCTCTCTCTAAAACGAGAACGGGGCGGACAAGAGCACGAGAAACTTGTTAATGCCAGGGATAAGGGGAAACAATTTATAGTAGTACACGTGGCAGAAAGGACGACACGGTGTGTCAAGTGCGGAGAAGAAATTGGCTTTCGCCACGTGGCACTAGTGGGCCGCGTGTGCCTAATAAGCTTTTTTTTCCATTCTACAAAAGTAGGCGATGACATACTCACATCTTTCTGTGTGCATGGCACGTGAGATTTAGCCTTGCCACGTACCCGGGAACAAATTGGTCTGTCCACTAAGAACCCACCAATATGATGATGTCATGTTTTAAGTTCATGTTCAATTATTCCTCAACTTTGCAAAAAGAAAAAAACAAAAACAAAACAAAATTCCTCACAAATTAAGTCCTTTTTTTTAATTTTATGAAATAAACTGAAAACAATTTTCAAAATTTTCAGTCTTAAGAAAATAAGATAATAGTATTTTGTTTTATGAGATTATAATATAATTACTCTCAAAATACTATATATATATATATATATATTAAATAAATTATATGTTTAGAATATTGAATCCGCAATTTAAATTTTTCCAGTTTCATATATAAACAGTTCCAAACGCAACATATAAATATAAATTTGTGAAATGATTTTTCATTTTGAACCTCAATTATTTAATAATCATTTTTAAGAAATCTAAAAACAATTTTCAAATAAGTATAAAAGCTGTGATGTGAAATTACACAATCTTTCAAATCAGTTCGAAAAGAATTACTGTACTTTTTTTCTAAACTGTACGTAAATCAGATAAATTAATCTTTTAAATATTTTATGCTGTTTCTCTCCAATCTAATATTAAAATACTAGTAGTATTTTTTTAATAAACTAAACAAGACTATTTTTAGAAAACTTCACTCCATTCCTGACGTAGTGACGTGTCACCGTGAAAAAGTAAAAAAGAGAGAAGAAAAAGAGACCAAATTGATAAAGAAAATTTGATAAACAAATTAGTGAATATTTTTTTTTTTTGGGAAAAATTATTGAATACTACCAAATTACCAATCAAGGTAGATTTGAGAGTTGGAGACACATGGAAATGATATGCCGGGGTGTGCCAATCGTTTGGCAGGCACGTGAAGTATCCGTGCCCACACAAGTCACTCAGTCCGACCCCTCACCTGGGACCAATTATCATTTATCAGTATCTTGTGACTTATTGATTGTTCACACAAGGTTGGACCCACCTCCAGTAATAATAATAAATAAATAAAACACGAATTTAAACACGCTGTTTAGGCTGAGTTTTGAACTTTCTCTGTATTGTTCGGTGCGTGCACGTGGCTTGCAGAGTGTTGTGGGTGTCATAAAATGGATTAGTCTAAAGACCGTAAAGTGTAAAGTGTGGGGATACCTCATATGTGATGAAAAAAAAAAAAAAAAAAAAAAAAAACTCTTGTTAAAATGTGACACTTGATTATCTTTTGACCGTGGATGGTATCTGGTCACGCAAAATTTTAAGAAAAAATATTATATGCTGCCGGATCGTTGGTCTCGACCAATCATCAATTAATACGTAAATAAAAAATAATATAAAACTAATAGATAATTTATACATTTGCTTACATGTTAAATTGGTGATTGATTTAAAAAACAAAACAAAACAAAACAAAACCCTTTGTTAAAATGTGACACTTAGAGTATCTTTTGACCGTGAATGGTATTTGATCACGCAAAATTTTACGAAAAAATATTATATGCTACCGTATCGTTGGTCTCGACCAATCATCAATTAACACGTAAATAAAAAATAAAATAAAACTAATAGATAATTTATACATTTGTTTACGTGTTAATTAGTGATTGGTTTGGAACCAATAATCCCGAGCTTATGTAATAATTTTTTGAATTTTACACCATCCATGTGAGTGTCATAACATGCATTAAATTTCTTCTATATCAAACTTGAGTTTCAAATAAAAACAAAATGAGTGGTAGAACAATTTGTCCAGAAAACATAAAAAAAATAATCCCTCAGTCCCAAAAAAAAATGTTCATTTTTTGAAATTTAAAGGTAGTTTATAACTCTGAGAACAGTTTTTTATTTTCAATTTCCTAAACTATGCTTGGTTCAGTTTTCTTAAAATTCAGTTATAAAAAGACATGTTTTCATACAATTGTCTTTTATAATTCTTTGAAAATAATTTTTTATATTTTGAATTCTTGAAAACTATTTTTAGAATTACAAGCCAAACAGATCCTAACTTTCTAAGATGGCTTTTAGTACTGTTTATTATCTTCATATACTTTCAAAAATTACAATTAGGGACGGAGGGAGGGGACTGGGGATGGCCATGCCCGCACCCCCCCCCCCCCCCCCCCCAAACCCAAAATATTGAAATTTTTTTTTTAGTATAAGGGAAAAAAAAATTAGTATAGGGAAAAAAAATAATTTTATTTATAATCTCTAGATGGGTTACGAAAGCCCAGCCCTGTTCAAGCTCGGATAAAGACGCCAACAGCCCAGGATCTCTAATGTTGAACTTCCGGCCCATTGACTAAATCATTTAGACCAAGCTACATGCAGCCCAACTTCATTTAAAGACAGGACCAGTCCTGCTAGAAAAAGGATTCAACAAAGAAGGCAAGTTCTGTACAAGGAAAGTTTGGCATGGAAAGAATTGTAAAAAAGAAAAAACTCTATTTGTAAAGAATGTTGTATATGGAATGAATTGGAGGACAAGTAAGGCGAGTCCTACCATAATTCCACCACCTTTTTGCATATAAATAGAGGTCTAGACCTCCAATAAAGATATAGAGCAATATACGCTTTTCTCTGAGTATTCTTATTGTTAGTTATTATTATTTTGAGTGAGTTGCATTCTTTCTTTTTACTTATTTTAATAGAGAGAAATTTTGCACCTACACTTTGGCACCGTCTATGGGAATCGTATAGAAATATACTCCCACTATTGTTTCGAATTGTTTATGTTACTACGATCTGGAATGTCAATCGGAGGATCTGTGGTAGCGGCCGATCAACAGATGGAGTTGATGCAAAAGATGCGAGAAGAATTCTTGCACCAGTTCAAAACGCTTCGCCAAGCGAATGAAGCCAGCATAGCCCAAATTGCATTATTTTAACACTAAAACGATACCCTTCAAACGGCGATGGCTCAGTTGACACCACAGCCGCCACCAGATGATGTGGCACCACCTCCCCCCAACCAAAACATTCCTCCAGTTAACGAGCTTCAAACCAATGGGGCACGACCTAATAAAGCTCGGCCTAACAAAGTTCAGCAAGAGCAGAGGACAAGGATCAAGGTGGTTGCTTCAGACAATCTGCCTCGTCGCATGCAGGACGAACAGGCGAGTCCAGCTGTAAGCTTACGGTATGGTCTAATAGCATTCCGGATGGCGCAGGTGTATAGAAGGCCTTTGACGAAAGAGACTCCTGAGGATTCAGACGCCCGCCGAGATGGCTAGAGAGCATAAGAACTCTCTAGTGAAGACTTTGTTCACCGATGAGATATACCTTGTTGACAGACCTAAGAAATTCACAATGCCTTTACTCAGTTCGATGGTACAGGAGATCCTTCTCGTCACCTTGACCACTATGCACAAAAGATGGCTTTAGACGATCACAACGATCCATTCATGTGTAAGGTTTTTCCGACTAGTCTAACATGAGCTGCATTAGAATGGTTTAGGAATAGGCCACACAAATCTATCCTAGACTACGAAACTTTGTGTACTATGTTCCTAACACAATACTACGGAAACAAGAAGCAGAAGAAGAGTATCGCTAGTCTCTTCACCATAAGGCAAAAGAAGGGAGAAACGCTACAGGATTTCTTATCCAGATTTAACATGGAGACCTCGGAAATAGCAGATTGTCATCCTGCGACTGCAATAGAAACTTTTAAGATCGCTATGATTTAGGGAACCAAGTTCCATACCTCCCTAGTCAAATATTCCCCTCTGGATATGCAGACTCTCAATGCTAGGGCATAAATCTACATCCGACTTAAGGAAAATGTAGCCCACCGAGCACAGCATACCACCCTTGTTACAGTGGAGAATAAGCCTCAGGAAAAAGTGTCAAGTTCAAAAACTCAAAAAAGCCAGCATGCCTCAGTACCGGTCGCTCAGGTACTTGAGAAGAGGCAGAGGACAGAGGAAAGGTTCATACCTCTTCGCACCACATTGGCTCAGCTATTCCAAGAAAACAAGGTGAGATTTGCAACCCCTCAGCCAATGAGGCAACCCTTGGAGCAAAGGGACAAGAGTAAGCACTGCGCCTACCATAGGGATTACGGGCATACAACCAATGATTGCAGATCCCTTAGGCGGCAAGTGGAGGACATGATAACTAGGGATGAGTTGGTAGACTACCTCACAACAATAGAATACATGAAGCCTCGGGAAGTCAATCCTTGAAAAGTGGAAGGCAATCAAGTAAAGGTTATCCATGCAATACATGGGAGATCAAAGTATGACCAAGAGTCGGAAAAAGTATATCGATCTAGACTGAGGGCAACCCACAAGCTAATGAAGTTATCCTCAGTGAACGCAATCACCTCGGGCAATAGCAGTATTGGGTTTGACAATGGAGATTTATCCAGAGTTCAACTTCCCCACGAGGATCCACTAGTCATCAGTCTTCTGGTAGCAAATTATATGATCAAAAGGGTTTTGATAGACCCAAGTAGTAGTGCCAATATTATCACAAAGGCAGTCTTTGAGCAGTTGGAGATCCCGTCATCATCAATTTGGCCCACCTCCAGTCCTTTGATAGGGTTCGATGGCACGAAAGTGGACCCCCTTGGGGTTATTGACTTATCCGTCACTGCGGCAAAAAGGACATTGAAGGAGAACTTTGTTTTAACAGAAATCCATCATTCGTATAATCTCATTATGAGAAGAGGTTGGATCCACCGAATGAACGAGGTTTCGTCTACCCTTCATCAGGTGATGCGATGTTTGTCTCCGGACAGTAAGGAGGTTATTAATCTATGGGGAGATCAGGTCACTGCCAAAG